TAGCTTCCTTAATTTCAGGCTAAAGTTAAGGTCATCATTCCCCTTCTTATCGTACGAGAAGTGAATTCCTAAGATCCGAACCGGGGTATGCGTCCACTTCATGCCCAACGGGTTGGTTTTATTGTTAGCCCACTTCCCAAGCCAAATCGCTTTTGTTTTCTTCATGTTTAGCTGTAAACCAGCTATCCTACCGAAGTCATTGACTGTATTTAAAGCTTTTTCCACGGAATTTAAATCTGCACAAAACAGATTTGTGTCGTCTGCAAATTGTGACAGTTTAAGTTCGTTGCCAAACAAATTAATGCCTTTGACCCCCGAGTCGTAGCGTAGTTTTATGGACATTAATTCGGCTGAGAGGATGAACAGATACGGTGAGAGAGGACAGCCTTGCCTCACACCATTTCGACGGTTTGAACCAATTCGTTGTGTACCCATTATTCAATACCGCGCTCTCCACGTTCGTATAGAATGTACTTATCCAACGTTTTATGCTGCTACCAAAATTAAAAGCATCTAAAATTCTCATAATAAAGGGCCATTCGAGAGAATCAAAAGCCTTACGAAAATCAAGAGCTATAAGAATGCCCGGAATTTTTTGCTCTTTTGTTAGGTCTAGAACATCACTTATAAGTCTAATGTTTTCCCCAATGTAGCGTCCTTTTACAAAGCCTGTTTGGTCTGGGTGTATTAAGTTCGGCAAAACCGTTTCTAATCTTTTAGCTATTGCTTTCGCAGCGATTTTTTGATCGACATTCAGTAGGGTTATCGGTCTCCAGTTATGCAGGTCAAGTAAAGAGCTGTCTTCCTTTGGTAATAAAGTAATAATGCCCCTTCTTTGCGAGATGGTAAGTTCATTTTTCTCGTAAGCCTCGTTTAAGCATGCCAGAAGATTTTCGCCTAATAGGTCGTAGAAAAATTTATAGAATTCCACGCTGAATCCGTCTTCACCTGGCGCCTTATCACTTTGGAAAGATTCTAGTACATTTTTGCACTCATCATAACTTAGAGCCTGTGTAGGATGTCCTCACAATCCTGAACTAGAGTGGTCAGAGAAGTACAATCCACCAGCAGGTAGGCCATTTGCTGAGCCAGCTCCTGGGCCAATTCAAAGATACCCAAGCAGTGCTGAAATCAGGGAAGGAGCCGTTTTTGACCAAATGTTTAATGATGATATGTGGGACTTGATTGTGGCAGAGACAAACAGATACCACAATCAACAAGTGGTGGCAGAGCCAAACAAACACAAATGATAGTGGACTCCAGTCACCAAGGATGAAATGCAAGCATGATGACTTCAACATGGACAAAGTGTGTAATTCTGCCAACCCCACTTAAGTGGGGTTTGTACATATGTTTAAGCATTGTTACCTGGCAATGTATGACATATTTTACATCACATTCCAGTGGGAGTCTTAGATGGAAGCTGTGTAGTAAAACCTGTTTTGATGCGGTTGGAGAATCTAGGATCAATTGAGAAATTTGAAGTGAACTTTATCTGGTGTTTTGACCATAATTTGGAAAGCTTTGTTTGCTGAGTGGATATGGAGAAAGCAGATGTCTAAAAAATGGTGTTGATCTTTGAAATTCATAAAGATTTCATCCATGAAAGATTATGCATATTCACACCTGAAATTGAAGCGAACCGTAATTTTTGCTTTTTGTTTTACATAAGTTTGGGTGATATTTAAAAGTAAAGTCAGTCTTCTTAAAGCGAAGACATCGTTCACGGAAGGGAAAAGGTTCTTCACTTTATTTTCCAATCAGGCAATGTTCAATCCCTTATCTCTCATGGATCACAGATGCGGCAATTCCACTCTGCATTCCAGCCATCAGAGGAAATGATCACGTAATCATTGTCTACTTCTTCAACAATGCACGCACACCAAACTCCTTCTTCATCAACTGCTTCAGCTTTGAAGCCCACAGGTCGTGTTTTCACGGGTGATTTTTCATGTTGCTAAGCGAGTGACAACCAGAAATCTCATGAAAACAATTGGTTGTCCAACTAGCTGAAAGTCAAGCGAGTCAGCAAACTTCAATTGAAGTTTCCATTAGATTTAAGCCACCAAACCAGGTCGCTTAAACTTGTTGATAATTGACTTCAGCCAATCACATGGCGCCTGAGAGTCAAACAACTGATAAACTTGTCAGACATGAGGTTAATGGACCTTGTACCTTGTACCTATTTCGTGGGAATAAGTTTGTAATGGCCCATCCATATCATAATTTCGATTTCAATTTTCCACACTTTTCGAATCAAAGGTTCATCCCATAAGGTCCAATGATTTTCCTGCATTGGCCACAAATTCAGAGAGATGCTCTTCGTCCTGGGCCACAAGTGCAGTCCACTGCAGGCCACATAAGTCAAGAAGGTGAAAGTGAAATTAGCGAGGAATCTGGCAGCAAGGTCACACTAACACTTTTTGTTACAATTCCCATGTTCACGAAGTGTGCGAAGCATCTCCCAACTTGAAGAAAAGAATGCAAGAAAATGGTTGCTTCCCCTTCCCCCATCGTCCCCAATTGCACATCTACACTTTTAACTCACATGTACAGGCAATTGCCTGGACATAGGGGGGTCCAATGCATTGAATAGCCTTTTTATATGTCGATGTCCAGGACATGCAATCATTTTAGCATGAAGCATAAAGCATAAAGCAAGTTATAAATTCTATTATGCCTGAAACGAAAGCAGATTCAGAACAGATTTCACTTAAGGAAGCCTCGCAAAGAAGAAAAGAAGAAAAGAAATAAGCAATAGAATGAGTCAAGAAACAAAAGCAAGAAGAGTGGGAATTTTCCAAGAGGCCATCAAGAACCAGGCAAAATTAAAAGAGTTTTAAACGCAAAGAGAATCAAAAGAAAGGAGACAAGCTGTCATTAAAGAAAGTCAGTGAAGAAGAGAGAAAATTAGAGAGCAAACCAGAGAAAGAGTCAGAAAATGCAGAGAACAAAATCAGCAAATGGACCAGACTCTAAATGCTGAAGGTCACAATGTGGGCTGAGGATTTCAAAATCGGACTGCAAAAAAAACATGTTACCTATAAAGTGAAAGGTAAATTTCCTGCTATGCCTTGCAAAAAAGCTGATGTCATTGAAAATCTGGCAGGCAGTCCCAGAACTAGAAAAATACTCATCATACATGGGGTCTTGAAACCCCAGAAGAGGAAAGAAAAGTTGCAAGTCTAAAGGCTCTTGCATCAGACATATCAGCAGGACTCATGGTAATAAAATGCTCTGGGTCAAATGAAAAAGAGCCACATTTGGAGCTTTTAAATCTCTTGCATTTGGAGATAATGTCAAGAAATCTAGAGCCAAAAGTCCTTGAGGAGTTTGGTCAACCTCAATGAACGAAGTATAAGTAAACCCAAAAAGAAACAAAAAGAAATCTTAAAAGGCAACAAAGAAACCTGGCTGTACATAAAGCGCAAAGTTCCCAAAGATGCTCTTTCCGAGGAAGATAAGGAAAAAAATTTTCAATGACTGGTCAAGTTCAGCTAGCGGGCCAACAGGAGACAAGAAAGACTTTGTGAAGAAATGTATTGGTAAAAAACAATACAAATTACTTTGAAACCTCTCATGAAAAAGGAGAGCAAGATGCAGCTCACTCACATATAATAAAGAAGATCAGCCAAGTAGTTCTCAACAGGACTGACACCATCAACAGTGCTAAGGCCATGCATGAATACCTGGAAGTCAACTTCACATAGCCTGCTTCAAATGCAGCTCACTTAAAGCAGTCTTCTTCCATGTACCATCTGAAGGGGAAGAGGCTGTTTCTAGAAACAGAGATGGAAGAAAATTTAAAAAGATAAAGGGAATCAGGCAATGGCATCGTGTTAAGTCTTCAGCCCTGCAAGAAAAAGTGTTGGTCCAACACCTTTCCTGCTAGTGCATTAATTGCATTATGAGTGGGGAGGCTCATTGTGCAAACAAGGCATTGATGAATGATTGGAAAGAGGTTACCATTGCTACAGATGGCTCAGTGGCAACAACCATGCAAGCCAGAGAGAATACCCTTGACCATGACACAGCATCTCACTTAGCTGACATAGCAGCAAATGGAAGTACTATTGCCACTACATGATCCAATGTATGACTTCTACCTTTTAAAGGTCACATCTGATGGGGAGCTTGAAAGCAAATTTACTGATAACTATGAGTTTAATGCGTTAAGGGGCCAGGAGGTTCTCAAGGGACACTTTTACCTGAGAGGAACATTAATGATATGACATTTACACTTGATGAGAAGCACACTGCAGCTGTTTACACTGCCAGTCTGCCACATTTGTGGTGATCTGACAGAAAAAAAAAACATTTTTCTAAACTTTCTCTCAGAGAAAATGAAGAAATAATTGCCTCTCTGTGATTTAGAACCATTTTGGCGCATTTTTTACTTAATTCATTGCTATATACATCTTGAACTCAAATGTACAAAACTTGCCACACCCACAAAGCATTATGGGTAATATTAAGATTTGCTATGATTGGCTGAATTTTTTTTAATATTTTTATTTTCCAAACAGAAATGTTAATCACTGTTTGCTTCTCAATAATTAAACTAAACAAAGGGTAAAAATTAAGAGTTTTGTGTTTTGACCCTATGTAACACAAAATGTAGGCATGATTGTGCAACTACTCATATATTCATATATATACATATTTACAGTTCCTTTAAATTATATCTATCTATCTATCTATATATATATATATCTATATATAATATCTGTCTGTATGTATGTATGTATGAATGAATTTGTATATATGTATATTTACACACATACATATATATATACCTTCTTTTCTGGCAAGAAGCCTACCTCTAAATGAACTTTGTTGCACTATGGGTGGCAGATAGTGTGAGCCAGACAGTATTCTACTTACTCACTGCATTGATGTCTCCCTTCGAGGTACTGACTGACACACGTATTTTCATAACACATTCCCATAATATGAATGCATGGAATGTAAAAAATAATTGCCAACGAGCCAGCCGAGCGAAGACGCGAGGCTGGCGAGGCGGCAGCATTATAGAGCCGTGCGAGAGTATTGTACAGGCGGAAAAAATCTCGAGTGATTGTAAGATGTCTGTAAGGTAAGATTCCTGAGATTCCAATGACGTAATGTGAATAGGCTTTGTTTTGCAACGGACCAATGGTAGCGCGCAAAGATCGTGACGTCAAGTCCACATGGTGCTTATCGTGGACGCTTAGCAGCTTTGTCATTTATCGAGCGGAGGAGCGAGCAAGTTTGAGGTAAGAAAATTGTATTTTTCACCTACCTTTGTAAGTTTTATTTCCAATTCTGCGTGAGTGCACTTAAGTTAAGTGCCTTTGTGGTATAATTATCGAGTTAGCAAGCTCAGTAACCGGCCAGTGTGCCAAAGTCGGCCAGTGTGCCAAGTTGACGAGTGTGTCAAAGTCGGCAAGCGTGCCAAATGTAGACAACGCCAGCAGGCATAGAGCAATCAAAGAAACTGAGAAACCACCGAATTAAACAAAACAAAGCTCAAACAAACGATAATCGTAGCAAACTAGCGGCCAGTAAGCCAACTTTGACACCATTAGCGAGCAGAAAGCAATCAAAGTTGTAGCAAACTAGCGGCGGCGAACGAGCCACACCTGAGAGTGCCAAAGTCGGCAAGGGTGCCAAATCTAGACAACGCCAGCAGGCATAAAGCAATCAAAGAAAGTGAGAAACCGCTTGAAACTGTATTCAAACAAAACAAACGATAGTTTTAGCAAACTAGTGGCCAGTGAGGCAACTTTGTCACCATTAATAGCGAGCAGTTAGACAACGCCAGCAGGCATAAAGCAATCAAAGAAACTGAGAAACCGCTTGAAACTGTATTCAAACAAAACAAACGATAGTTTTAGCAAACTAGTGGCCAGTGAGGCAACTTTGTCACCATTAATAGCGAGCAGAAAGCAATTAAAGTTGTAGCAAACTAGCGGCGAGCTAGCCACGAAAGAGTGCACTCGTCATTGGCCACTGAACCAACTTTGTCACCCCACAAACAAGCTGAAAACAATCGAAGCAACTGAGATTCAACTTAACTTAAGCTTGAGTTAAATTCAAAGGAAACCTAACGCGGCGGAAGTGCATTGGAGAGCGAGCAAGCTGCAATAATCAACTGTCAGCTCGATCAATTCTTTCGACTGTTATTAATATCAAGCGTATCACGAATTTTTGAAGCACAGACTTTTTGCCCACTAAAATACAAGGTACACCTAGAGCAATAAACCGCACAAAAGTTTGAAAATGATGTGGCTATTGTTTATGTTGCTACTCTTTCCCAATCGTACTGCCCACAATAATCTGTTAGAATTGGGGAGTGTGTGCCCAAAATGCAGCATGATCTATTTCAGATTTAGGGGGAGATACTTGTCAAGGCGAATAGCTTATCCTTCTAATGGTAGTTTTAATCCCTTCGTTATTTCAAACAAGGAGGCACACATTGTGAATGGGAACATAAATTCAGAAGTGTTGGAAGAAAAACGCAATGCAATATGTAATAGCACTGATAGTAATTCTACATACATGTGTGAAGGATCAAATGTAAGAGATCACTTTCGTAATTATTGTTTGACCAACGTAGGGAAGTTTTCTTGTGCAGTTGATTGCTTTCTTGAGCTATGTTATTTTGTTTTTCGCAATCATCTTCAAAACATTACATGCAATGATTTTTTTCAAGTTATCTCTGAGGCGTGCAATCAAAGGGCAATTGTTGGTGCTGTTGATGTTGTGCGAGAGCCTATATGGTCACTGATCAGAGGTCGTTGCCCATCATTTTCTTCAATGACTGCAAATGCTGTTTTTAGTGACATATTTACCATGCAAGCATTTGGGGATTTAACCAGTGATTTGAAATCATTATTTCTTATTCAACAATGTAATCAGACTTGCTGCACCCTGTGTAACAATCAAATATTGAAAACTACTAGCACTATTGTCTTGTATATTACTTGTCCAAATATTCTGCCCACTGAATTTGAAAACTGTGTTTCAGAAGCTGCTTTGCCTAATAGCAGCCCACTTTTTTGTGATGCATGTCAAAGGCATTCTGGTGATATTTCAGGTTTGCAACATTTTGTTACCATGCCAAAATTTTTACACATTGAATTATCATCAATTTCTTTTGGTCAAACTGTTCTACCAGCAAGTATGGAACTCTTAGGTACATTTTACTTATTAAAAGCTGTTGTGCGGTGTGCAAGCCACCATTTCACTATTGCTATAAACAATGGTCGTTATTGGTTTTATTATGATGATCTCTGTAGTGCAGTTCAGCAATATGCTACATTTCAAGATATTTTGAATGTTTACGCCAATGGATGGTATTTTGCTGTTTATGAAAGCTCTGTTGATAACATTATTAATATACATCAAGGCATTGATTCCTGTACATTAATGCCAGACCATTCTTATTCAAAATTAGAGGATAAAGAACGCCAAGCCTGTGATGATTTTGGGAAAGAAGTTTGCACACCCAGAAAACGACAAAGACCAGAAACAAATACTGACAAATTGATAGATAGAAAAAGAAAGCTGAACTTAAATGTAGTAAATCCACATTTGAAGAATTACAAAATTGCTAAAAAAGCCAAAGAGACAGAGAGTGAAAAACTTTCTAGACAAAAAAAGCAAAAAGAATATATGAGGGCATACAGAAGGAAAATAAAGGATTATGAGACAGGGGAGGAGAAGCAAGCACGATTGATAAAACAAAATGTGCAAAAGTGGAACTCTAGACAGAAAAAGGAAGACAATACATTTGATGTAATTAAACCAGTAGGAAAATTTACAGCTAAAAAAGCCAAAGAGACAGAGAGTGAAAAACTTTCTAGACAAAAAAACCAAAAAGAATATATGAGGGCATACAGAAGGAAAATAAAGGATTATGAGACAGGGGAGGAAAAGCAAGCACAATTGATAAAACAAACTGTGCAATTTAAGTGGAACTCTAGACAGAAAAAGGAAGACAATACATTTGATGTAATTAAACCAGTAGGAAAATTTACAGCATGGCAAAAAGTAGATAAACCACTGCATAATGTTGACAAAGAAGCATATTTATCTCAATTTGACAGTATAAACACTGGACCAATTCATGTACAGAAGTGGGCTATCAAAAACATGGAAGACTTTCATAATTCACTTAAATTCAAAATTTATATGTGTGAAGTTTGCCATGAGGCATGGCCATTATCATCAAAAGGCAAAAAGAGATCTCCTTATATGTGTTCAAGATGTTCACGTGACAAGAATGGAGTGAAAAAATTAGTTAGCCAATTCATTGCCAAGAAACCTAAGTGAAATGCCAGTAATAGTTGTGTCAGTCAAAGGCAAAGATAATACTTATAAAGATCTCACTGTGAGACGTGAAAAGGTCAGCTGTGCTCTGCACTGGTTAGTTCAACATAACCCTGTATATAAGGATATCACTATTGATTATGAATTGTTGGCTTTCTTGCCTTCTGATGGCATTCCCACTGAGCTGCGTAAAATTTATTGTACTGAGAACAGTAAAGATGATGAAATTGATCCAGACAGAGGTCCTCTTGATGAAATACCTTTCAATGAAGACACAGAATTGAGTAGCACAATTCTTAACCCTGTACAACTAAAGCCACAGAAGCAGCTGATAAAAGATGAGTTATTACAAAACAGTAAAATCAATTGGCCTAATAGGAATTCAAGTCCTCTCAATGAGTTTAAAATTGAATATTTAGCTACTATGGCATTTCCTACTTTGTTCCCAGATGGTAAAGGAGATCCTACTAACAGTGCTACAATGCGTGATGTGACCCTTGGAGATAAAATAAAACATTTGATTAAATTTGCTGAATATAATAATGGTAAATGGGCTTATAGGTTTGCAAGTCACCCACGGTTTGCTTATTGGGCATTCAACATGATTCAGAGGCACAGACTCCTTAGTCAGGAAATATTTTTTAAAGCAAAACCCTGGTGAAGCTAAGTTAACTGTAGAACAACTTCAACAAATGCTTCAAACAAATACGTATTCTACTTTAATGTCAAAACTTATGCATTATGCTAAAAATGTTACTGGTAGCAATAGCTATTGGCACAAAGCTAAAGAGGATTTGCGAGCAACCATTGCTCAAGTAGGACCGCCTACTATATTTTACTTTATCTTGTGCTGAGTACCATTGGCCTGAATTTCATGAACTCTTTTGTGACCCTCACTCTGAAACACTTCAACCAGCAATCAGGCAGCAAAATGTTCTTCAAAATCCACATATCTTGGATTGGTTTTTTACTGAGCAGAACAGATCGTTTTGTCAAGTTTTGGTTAAAAGAGTCATTAGGGGCTTCTTGGCATTGGTACAGATACGAGTATGCAGTTCAGAGAGGTTCAATTCATTGTCATGGAGTTGCAAAATTGAAAAATGATCCAGGACTTTGCGAACTGACAGAAATTGCATTGCAAGGTTTTTTATCATCAAAGCATATCAATGAGAACAAAGGAAATTTGTCAGAAGAAGAAATATTAGAACTGGAGACTAAGATAAATCAAGGTATACAAGCAGAGTCTGTTGTTTGTCAGTATGTTGACTTTATACTAACAACTTGGAATCCATGTTCCCCAGAAGAAGGGTGGTCCAAACCAGATTCTCATCCATGTCAAACCCAGTATCTGTCTTTGAATGGCAAACAAAAAGAGGAAGACTATGTGAATTTATTAAACTCTGTTGAGAGACATACAATGTGCAGTACTAAGTATTGTCTAAGGGAAACTAGCAAAAATGAATTAGCCTGTAGATTCAAATTTCCTTTTGAAAATTGCCCAAAGACAAGAATAGATTTTGAACCAATAAACACTAAATCAGGCCAAACCAAGTATAGAGCAACCATTGTTACTAAGCAGAAATGATTCAAGATTAAATCGTCACCAACAACTGCAGCTCCAAGGATGGAGGGAAAATTGTGATATTCAAATTATTATAGATTATGTGGCATGTTTGGAATATCTTGTGAAATACACATCAAAAAGGAGAAAAAGCTTCTTCAGTTCTAAATAATGCATTCACCAATGTAATTAGTAAAGCATCGGACAGAAAGTGACATTCATAACATTTTGAAGCAAATTATGATCAAAAGTGTCGGACAACGAGATTATTCAATCCAAAAGTTATGCATCATTTACTCTCACTCAAATGTGTAAGTGCAACACATGAAGTAATAAATACATCTCTTGATGGTTCACGAAGAGTACAGGTGTCCAAAAATAAGGATTTTTGTACAATCCCATCCATGTTGGATATTTATGCTGAACGAGAGAAGTTTATTAAGACATTTCCAGACATACTGACATATAATTTTTTGCAATTTACCTCCACATTTGTAAGCAAAAACTCAAAACTGGAGAAAAGGAAGCAAGCTGTAATAGTTAAAACTTATCCCAAATTTTCTTCAAATCCTCAAAATCAGCAGTATGGGCTGTTCTGTAAATATCAACTGCTAAAATATAAACCTTGGCAACATGTAGCAGACAATGCATGGGACAATCTTGAACAGTGTGATGAAACTTATAAAGCATGTTGGATGAACTTTTTGTGTAGTGATTGTGGGAAGAACAGTGTTCCTGACTGGGAATTGCAATTGAGCAGCTTAAAAGCAGCCATTAATCTGGAAAATGAAAATGAAAACATGGAAATTATAGAGGAAGAAAAGAGAAGAGTGGATGTTTATGTCAGAACTGAATTTACAGGAGTTGAGCACAGATACTGAATATAACTCGACGTTAGCTCCTGAAGGATATTGGCACAATGTTAGTGAACATTTTGACGATGTTGATCTACTTTCTGTTACTTCTTGGTTAAATACTCAGAAAAATAAAAATGAACCAAGTTGGCACATATCATCAAGAGTAATAGATATTTCAAGTTTTAGTAGCGATCAATTGTTGGCATACCATATCATTCTAAATCACTTCAACAGCAGTAATGAACTGCCTTTGCATCTACTTGTTAAAGGAATTGCAGGTTCAGGAAAAAGCTATGTTATTGATGCTGTAAGAAATGTTCTTAAGGAAAAATGTCAAGTACTAGCATATACTGGAAAGGCCTCTTTTAATGTCAAGGGTGTAACACTGCATTCTTTCCTCAAACTAGCAATTGGTTCAAAAAGACTCTTCGAATTGAAAGGAATAGCTTTGCAACAACTTCAAACTAATTTACAAAACATTCAGTATTTGATTATAGACGAATATTCATTTGTTGGCCAGAGCTTACCCAGGTGGATAGATTGCCAAACTGCAGGCAAGCTACAGGTTTAGCTGGTCAAGCTTTTGGTGGTCTTTCTGTTATTCTGGTCGGTGATATATAGCACAGTTATCCCCAGTTGGTGATAAACCACTTTTCCATTCTTTTCCAAAATCAGAAAAACAGATTCAGGGTCACCTCATATATAAAGAGTTCAAACAAGTCGTCACATTGTCAGTGAATCATAGAGTTGATGGCCAAACTAATACACAATAGCACAGAATCTCCTCATTAGAGCAAATGGAGAATCCACTTTGGCAGATTGGCAGACATTGTTATCTAGAACTCCTGAAAATGTAACAAATATTGAAAAATTCCTAACATCATCTGTAAGGCTATCTATCTGAAGGCAAAAGTTGCAGAAATGAACTTGATCAAATTAAAAAATCTAAACCAGCCAATAGCAACAATCAAAAACCCGTCATTCTGGTGGTGCTCAAACACTTAGCTCTGATGAAATGGGAGGATTAGAACCTGTCATATATAGCAATACATGC